TCAGCTCAAATGTAGTATTATGGCAGTGCAATGGACCCAATAACTTTCAAAGGGAGGCATATTAGTGGCAGTCGAATAACTGCCGGATTAAGATTTTGGGCTTGATGTGGAAAAATTTGAGTGTTGATTAGGTCCACACTAAATGGCTTGGCGGACCGGGTTGTGGCCCGCGGGCCGCCAGTTGCACACCTCTGCTCCAGAGTCTAGACCAGGGTGGTCCAGGATTGGCAGCTCCGAGGGCCACAAAATTACTTTTGCATTGTTTGCGGGCCACAATAGTGCCAAGAACTTCACTCATTTAACTTCGCCAGTTGCCTCAGTAAGCCTAAACTAATCAATTCAGTGACATTAGTGATGCAACAATAAGTCAAAAGATTTTTTAGTTAATTTTATGACAAAACAACACAAAATGCGATTTTTTGATTCCTCTCCGAATGCGACGCGGGCCACATATAATGAAGCGGCGGGCCATATCCGGCCCTTGGGTAATTCAATCCGCATCGTCTGATGCTGCCACAACCAAACTAAAACCAAATTGTGATGTTTTGGGATCAGGGAATTTGTCAAGATTGTGATTAAATTTAGTTTTGGCACAATGGTTATTGTTTTCCACGTTGCTTTTGTAACACTGTATACATATTGTTCCCATAAAATGTAACTTTTACATCACGCTTACATGACTCCACAGCCTAGATGGGCAAATTTGTTGGCCCCCTGTCTAAAAACCTTGCCCTCCCTCTGCTCGAGATACACCGTGTTGATGTCATAAAGTACATTTGTTATCACGGGTGATCGTACATTTGAATCCATGCGTATATCCACGGGTTCAATCTATAGGCGGGTGCTAAAACCCATGGGTTAGGGTTAGTATGGGTTTAACTATCCGTGAAACAAAAGAAATTCCATAGGTGCAATAGCAAACAGGTGCAATTGTCATGGGTTCAAATGTACGTGGGTTCAAATGTAATGGAACCGTTATCACGATAATTAAAATATTAAAAAAAATATTATTTATACTAGTAGCAAAATTTTCAACATTTTTCTATTTTGGCTCTGACCAAGGCATCATATAAATAGATACTGCAGTATTATTTTATTTTATACAGTCTTTACATGTGAGATATTACACCACAGCTATCGCTCTATTTAAATTAAAAATACAGTACATATAAATATAGGGTCTTGTTCAGAGCAAAAATATAAAGACTCTATAATAAAGAGAGTAAAAGAATGTGGGTGGCCATTAGTGTATGTAGTAAATTTGATTTTAAATACTGTTACTACTATGATAACAAATGAAAAATTTCACAGTTCCCATGAAATACAAGTTCGGGCTCGATTTCACTTTCAGGCTTGGTGAGGAATTTAGTATTTCTTTATTCATGCTTAAAGGGAGAGGGAGAATGATATTGTATATGTCGTTGTGTTCGGATAGATATATATGTGCATACAATGGTAGAAACATGTAGGTCAGGGATGCCATCTCTGAATTTGGTCAGAATTTGGCCAAATAGTGCAGGAGCAATTGTTTTTTTTTGTGAAGCGATATCAGATTTCACTTGAATTTATGCCCAAACCATAATTTTTAGAGGAATGCTCATGTCATAGTTGTAATTTTCTTAATATTATTCTATTATAAGATGAGGCATTTCCGTTGACCCTAGTAAGAATAATTTTTTCTTTTTGTAAGTTTCCACTTTCAGATTTCAAACAATATATTTGTTTATTGCTGACATAAAATATGTTCAGTGTATTTGAGTACTAATGTTTTAGTTTTCATTTTTGTCCTCCCAAGTCCTAACAGCCTTAACAAGAAGGAGGTAAGCAATCTTGACACCCAAAGTACAATTTTGGTTTGTTGAGGTGTCACACACACTTTGATGTGCAAAGGTTTTTCAACTTGGCTTTTTTCGGTCAACTGTGTTGGGCAATGCAATGCTGTGACATATTAGGTTTCTTGGAGATGAATTCTTAGTTCGGGAATAGGGAGACATTAGCCTACCAAGAGAGAGGGATGAGGCATTGGTCCATTTTCATGACTAGAAACGAGTAATATGATGTTAGGTCTCGTCATGCTGTAGTGTTTTATTACAGCCTCAAGATTTTTGAATAAATCTTGAATACAACTCCTTCAATTTATTTGGGTTATTAGTAGGGATGGCCTTGGCCTTGGCCATAGTCACTAATGTATTTTGTTGCTGCAGGCTTGTTAACAACATATTGTGATGTAATAATCCTTCAAGGTGGCCCAGCTAGATGTCTGAAGTTTGTTGTATGGCCCAACGACAAAAAATGTTGCACACCCTTGTTTTACAGCAACCTAGATTGAGTGGTTCAATGGCCTACCATATCAAAACTTCAATTTATTTCATGCTGTTGCAATGCGCAGTGCAGTCGATTCTATAGTTTCGTTTGTATTTCCATCGTGTTCAATAATTTCTGAATAATTTCTGATTTTTGAATAGTTTTTGAATACAACTCATTATTCAATTTATTTGGGTTATTAGTAGGGATGGCCTTGGCCATTACTGAATACTGGGCTACTCTGAATACATTCTAAAAAATATTTTCGAATCTGGAATTTCGAATACATATTTAAAACCCACAAAACATAAAATTGAACATCTTTCCTAAAGTTCCAGAACATAGAAATTAAGCTTCAATGATATTATCATAATAAAGCAATTTGTTTAGTTGAAACGCATGTACGGTATATGTATGTATATTTGTTTGCTATATGAACAAAAATCATTTGGCAAAATATTTGTATGTAAGGTTGGATTAATAGGACTTATATGTGTATCACTGCCTTAATTCAGATTTATTGGAGGGCTATTTTTGGCTTGACGGTGTGGCACATCATGATAAGCGTTTGGAATAAGCTCGTCACCGCATCTCTGATTACTCTTTCTAGGCTTGCCGGTTTGAATCCCATGTGGTGTTGATTATATGCGACAAGATTGCTGCCCTCCTCGTCATGGTTCACGTAACCGCTGGTCAGTTACTACTCCCTCCACCATAAAGTTCATGCATCTGAAAACTGTCTAAGTGACTAATCCCGTACTCTACATCAGGCCTGGGCAAGTTGCGGCCCGCGGGCCACATCCGTCCCGCGGCAACGTTTTATCCGGCCCGCGAGCAAGTTTCTAGATTTAAACACTTTTTTTCATTTACATATAAAATATAATTTGATTGCGAACAAAATAATTTTTAGGACAATGAAAAAGTCGATAATAACATTCGACTAAATTTCCCTTAAATCGCCGATTGTTTTCGTCATCTCGAGGTGTTATTTAGATTTTACAAGGTAAACACCTTTACGTCGGCGATTAGTCTCCTCAAGTCATAAATTTTCCTTAACATTTATATGTCTTGTATTCGGAACTGTGAAACCATTGGAAAAACGAGTTATTATATAACCATCGGCGACAAGATGATAAAGATAAATAAAGGAGTGAATCTGCAAGCAACCTAAATCTAGATTTGGAGCGGCAATATAAAATACTAAAAATGGAACAGAAACAAGTTATGATTCAAACGGCTCGTGACAGGTTAAAAACATGCTGTGAAAATGGAAACTAAAAAATATAGTAGCTAAAGTATATAATAGCTTGATTCTCTTCTATTGCCCTTCGCATGGCTCTCTGGTAGTCACTAATGTATTTTGTTGCTGCAGGCTTGTTAACAACATATTGTGATGTAATAATCCTTCAAGGTGGCCCAGCTAGATGTCTGAAGTATGTTATATGGCCCACCGACAAAAAATGTTGCACACCCTTGTTTTACAGCAACCTAGATTAAGTGGTTCAGTGGCCTACCATATCACAACTTTAATTTATTTCATGCTGTTGCAATGCGAACCCTCAGTGCAGTGGATTCTATAGTTTCGTTTGTATTTCCATCATGTTCAATAATTTCTGATTTTGGAATAATTTTTGAATACAACTCATTATTCAATTTATTTGGGATATTAGTAGGGATGGCCTTGGCCATTACTGAATACTGGGCTACTCTGAATACATTCTAAAAAATATTTTCGAATCTGGAATTTCGAATACATATTTAAAACCCACAAAACATAAAATTTAACATCTTTCCTAAAGTTCCTGAACATAGAAATTAAGCTTCAATGATATTATCATAATAAAGCAATTTGTTTAGTTGAAACGCATGTACGGTATATGTATGTATATTTGTTTGCTATATGAACAAAAATCATTTGGCAAAATATTTGTATGTAAGGTTGGATTAATAGGACTTTCATGTGTATCACTGCCTTAATTCAGATTTATTGGAGGGCTATTTTTGGCTTGACGGTGTGGCACATCGTGATAAGCATTTGGAATAAGCTCGTCATCGCATCTCTGATTACTCTTTGTAGGCTTGCCGGTTTGAATCCCATGTGGTGTTGATTATATGCGACAAGATTGCTGGCCTCCTCGTTGTGGTTCACGTAACCGCTGGTCAGTTACGGCTCCCTCCACCATAAAGTCCATGCATCTGAAAACTGTCAGTCAGATTTTCCCCATGAAGCATAAAAATTCTAATCTGACAGTTTATATTTAAAAAGGCACTAACATGGGTAAAAATATATAATGTTTTTGGTCTTGTCGCTGTGTTAAATCTTTCCCTGTGCATTCATTACTGTAAGGCTAAGCGATAGCTTTATTCTCTTATGTTGCCCTCCACATGACGCTCTGGTAGTCGCTAATATATTTTGGTTGCTGCAGGCTCATTAACACCATATTGTGATGTAATAATTTCGCATCTCAAGGTGGCCCAGTTAGATGTCTGAAGTTGGTTATATGGCCCATTGTCAAAAAATGTTGCACAACCTCGTTCTACAGCAACCTAGATTAGGTGGTTCCAAAGACTGCCATATAACAACTTTAATTAATTTCATTCTGTTGCAATGTGAACCATCAGTGCAGTGAATTTTACAGTTTTGTTTGTATTTTCATCATGTTAATAAATATATTTACAGTTCTTATTTATTTCAGCTGAATGTACTAAATGTCAGTGGTAACAAGAACCTTGGAACCGATGGTTTTGGTGAACTTGGATTAGTTGTTACACAATGTCATGTGGAGTTATTCATGGCTCGGGATTGCAATCTGACAGCAGAAGAAATGAAAGCATTTAAAGAAAACACTCGCAATGCAAAGGTAAGAGGAGACTTCATGTGATAAGCATGAATGACTAAACAGCGTACATAGTTTATTAGAGAATTGGGGGTTGATGCATATTTAAAGAAAATATATATCTCCAACTCATACTTTTTAATCATTTAATTTTTGCTCAGAACAAGTCTCTACAAAGTCAGTGAATGTATATATATTATAAAAAAAAATATTTGAGAGAGTTTAGTAATGTACTACCTTTTTCGAAAACTTGTGACTTGACTCGCACAAACAAAATATTTTAACTCAAGTTACCATCAGAGAGATTTGACTTTAGATTTTTGAGCTAGTCTTTGAAATATAAAAAAAATTGATCAAATATATTGATTGGCGTTGTATTGAAAAATGTAAATTCAATTGCTTGCTGATAAATATATTAAAGATGAAGTGAAATGTTTGTATTGATATTATTCAAATCATCAAACCAAGCAACAAACTCACCCCTACACCCTATAACAGGGCTACTCAACCATTTTTACCGAAGATCCGCATACAAAACTTCAAAATTATTTGGGTCCGGTCTTTTCAGAATTTATATTTCGGCATCCTTAAACGCACACTTTCTCGACCGGCTAATGATTATTAGCTAATCGAAATTGCTTATTATGGTGTTATAGTTCTTTTCATATATATTCAAAACTATAAAAGTCATCTTATAAAAGGAAATTTCAAAAGTGGGGTTTATGATCTAAAATAAAGAATTGGGTGCTTTCCTCTGTACCAGGGGAGGCGAACTATGGCCCTGCGGGCCAAATCCGGCTTGTTGGGTAACCTAATCCGCCCGCCCGATGCTGCCACAGCCAAACTAACAAATTTTGATGTTTCATCTAAAAATAGATCAAGAAAAATGTTAAGATTGCGTTTAAATTTAGTTTTCGCTTTCAACTTTGCTTTTGTAACACTGTATAAACACTTCACACTTACATGGCCCCCGGTGGGCAAAATTTTTGGCCCCTGGTCTCAAAAACGTTGCCCACCTCCGCTCTAGACATACTTGACATAGACTGTTTAGATGCTGAGTCAAAGTTGTTGATGAATGACAAAATTCTAATTTGATTTTCATAAGTCGTTGGTTTTTATACGTCGGTAAGTTTTCACACGTCTATTCCATTGTTGTTTGTGAAAGCTAAAATACGCTGTAAGCTCTGGTTGTGTGAACATTCAATTATATCCATTTTATTAGGCCTGGGCTTGTATGTTTACATTTGTTATCACAATAATTAAAAGATTTGGATACATATTTTCTATACTAGTAGCAAAATTTTCAACCTTTCACTATTTTGGCTCTGACCAAGGCATCAGATAAATAGATACTGCAGTATTTATTTTATTTTAGACAGTTTTAACATGTGAGATACTACACCCCTATTGCTTTATTTAAATTAAAAATACAGTACCTACTCATCTGGAGTCTCGTTCAGAGCGAAAATATAAAGACTCTATAATAAAGGAAGTAAGATAATGTGGGTGGCCATTAGTTTAGTAAATTTGATTTTAAATGCTGTTACTACTATGATAACAAATGAAAAATTTCACAGTTCCCATAAAATACAAGTTCAGGCTCGATTTCACTCCAGCTAAGGCTTGGTGAGGGAATTAGTATTTTTTGATTCATGCTTAAAGGGAGAGAGAAAATGAATTTGTATATGTCGTTGTGTTCGGATAGATATATATATGCATACACTGGTAGAAACATGTAGGTCAGGGATGCCATCCCTGAATTTGGTCAGAATTTGGCCGAATAGTGCAGGAGCCATTGTTTTTTTTTGTGATGCGATATCAGACTCCACTTGAATTTATGCCCAAACCATAATTTTTAGAGGAATGCTTATGTCGTAGTTTTAATTTTTTTTTATATTACTTTATTATTAGATGAGGCATTTTCGTTGATCCTAGTAAGAATAATTTTATATCACAAAGTGGTTCCTTTTTGTAAGTTCTCACTGCAATGCTGTGACATATTAAGTGTCTTGGAGATGAATTCTCAGTTCAGGAATAGGGAGACATTAGTCTACTATGAGAGAGGGAGGAGGCATTGGTCCGTTTTCATGACTAGGAATGAGTACTATGATGTTGGGTCTCTTCACGCTGTAGTGTTTTATTACAGCCTCAAGATTTTTGAATAATTTTCAAATACAACTCATTATTGAATTTATTAGGGATGGCTAAAACTAAATACTGGACTACTCTGAATACATTTTAAAAAATATTTTCAAATCTGGAATTTCGAATACATATTAAAAACCCACAAAACATAAAGTTTAACATCTTTCCTAAAGTTCAAGAGCATAGAAATTAAGCTTCAATAATATTATTCATTATATTAAAGCAATTTGTTTGGTTGAAATGCACGTATATGTATGTATAATCATTTGATATATTAACGAAAATCATTTGACAAAATATTTATAAGTAATGTTGGATTAATAGAACTTTTATGTGTATCACTGCCATAATTGGGATTTATTGGAGGCCCACTATTGGCTCGGCGTTGTGGCTCATCCTGATAAACGTTAGGAATACGTTCGTCACCGCATTTCTGATTACCCTGTGTGTGTTTGCAGGTTCGAATCCCATGTGGGGATGATTATATGCGAGAAGATTACTGGACTCCTCGCCGCCGTCGGGTCGGTTTCGGCTTTTTCGGCCATAAAGTTCATGCATCTGAAAACTGTCCAACTAGCTAATCCCATACTCGACATGGACATGTAACCGGACGAGAGGCCGTGGTTTGCCATATGATTATGCCATTTTATCAGCTACCCTCTCCTCCGGGATAAATATGTAAATCTCATCCTATTCACTAGAAAATGCCCAGCAGCCAACGATTGAACCGCAGCCCACAGTTTGCCGGCCACTGGCTTAGGAAAACAAAATCTGTACAGAAATCGGAATGTAAGGCAGAGAAATATGGCAACTCTTGAAGTGTGATACAAAAAATCAGTCACCTGCCATGGCCTAGAGCCCTAGGCCATCATCCTGAATGCCGTATCATGGCAGTGCAATGGATGCAATCATTTTCAAAAGTTAGAGAATAGGTTTATTTTTATTTTAACTATAGGAAATATTTGAAAAACACTAACTTCGAAGCTGGAAACTGAAATCCATTTGCTTTAATTTTAATGATGTATACTCTGGCGTCACAAGTTTTTTGGTTGCCCTTACTAAAGATTGATTATGTTTCCAACATGTTGATTTAGAACAAAGATGGTGAACCACTGACTTGTGGGTCACAAAGTGTATATTATGCTTCATGAGTAGGTTTACCATACTAGTTCAGTGAGAGAGAGTGACTCACTATATTGTTATGTCATAACTGTTTTATGTGTAATACATCAATTTAGCGTCTAAGGCAGGGATTCCCAAACTTCATTGGGCGTGGGCCAAAATCAGAATCGGAACAAAGTTCGCGGGCCAGAAGAGTGTAGCGACCTTAAGTTCGCGACGGTTTCGCTGGGGTTCTGTCGATTCACTTTCATTTGACATTTTTTTGAAACATGTTTGTTTGACTCATAATGGCGCTTTTTGTGCAAGTCTTTGAAATATAAAAAATTAATCTGATTTACCATGTTGATCGGTATTGTATTGAAAAATCGTAAATTCACTTGCTTGCTGCAGCAACATGGTTACACATCTGAATTTTAATTTAATTTTCGAAAACCGTTGGTTAAACTCCATTTTACCAATATTAGTCTATTTCGTTGTTGTTTATAAAATCTACTATGACTCGGATTGACTTGTGACTCAAAACGTCAGTGACTCAACTTGATTGTGTCAAGACTCAAGACTAGACTTGACCCGCTCCAGACTTAGGAACTTACTCTACAAAACTGGAACTTTACTGAGTATATTGCATTTAAGACTTGAATCCAGATTTGTGACTTGGTCCCAACACTATGTGGGCACTTCATCAAAAACTATATATATGCTTAGTCTGATGAAGAAAAAAAAAATAATATATTCGGCATTATCAGGTCTCACATCAATGCTCGTCTCTCTCAAGATTTAAGACTTGGTTCCAACAATGTCCCATGTCCATAAGTATTGGTGGTCAGTGAATGAAAAATTTAAAAATCTACTTCGACTGATAACACTGTGCAACAAATATTTTGTTTTTGTTTACAGCATTTTATCTGGATTATCTGTTAGCCTTTGATAGGTTCTTTGATAAAATCATGTAATTCCTTTTTAAATTTTGGTTTTATGAAAATGGGGTGATTTCACAAAAATCGGTCTTGATTTCTCAGGAAATCAAAATTATTTGATCTCTACTCTTCAAAATATTGAGCTTGAGGTAGAGATTGGTGACTTGGATTTAAAACTTTCCTTTAGTTCTATGTGCATAAATATAGGGCGGTAGAAATTAAAAATAAATTGAACCTGGATTAGTATTGATAATAATATTTCTTGTCGAATGAAATATTAGCATTTGGACAGATTGCTACTGGTACAAATACTCAGTAATCAAAAAATTTTGTATCATTGAGGAAAATGTTATCAATTTTGCGGTGTTCTTAATAATTTAAAAATTTTAAATTTAATATTCTCAGATAAAGATCCTGGATCTGAGTGGGAACAAAGTCAGCAGACTCGGAGATGAAGGGTTATCTACAATCAGTGAAATTGTTCATCAATGTCAGGTTGAAAGATTGTCGATGTGGGATTGCTTCTTCAACCCTGATCAGTCGAAAAGATTCAAAGCATCGATCGCTGATACCGGAGTCGACTTCATTGACATCTGGGGTCCATAAACAATGTATCGAATAATTCTTAATGCTGGGTCATTCAAGCTTGGATCACTTTCTGCTTTAACTGGTTATTGTTTGGTCTCATCATATCCTTTGCCAACAGATTAACATCAGAAGAAATCTTTGTTTCCACTCCGAACAAGGCTCGAGCAAGTATGTACATTCTGTTCAGGTTTTCAGGTTTGGCACCATACTTTAATTTTAATGTATTTGGAAAATCAGAAAGTGGGTCATTTGCTGGTGGAAACGATCAATTAAATGCATAACACATTTTTATAAATTATAAATAGTTTTAGCACCAATACCAAAATATCTACAACCCTCTAAATTTTGAAACACCCCCTCCTCCCCCTAAAATGAGAAAGCTGGAGAACATACTGATTTCTAGTAATTTCTAACCCCCAACAGATTTAGTTCAGATTGTCGACTTTGGGGTTGGAAAGAGAACAAGAGCGCAAAAGTAATCTGACTATGAAAGTTTTTCTATTTCTATTTGTTTATTTAGTGGAAAAATTTGACTCCTATGTCAATATTTCGCAACCTTCAAATTACACTCCTAAATTTTAGCGGAAAATATTGATGAGGGAGAATAAGTAAACTGAACTCAACTCCACGGCCTGAATGATAAAATGAACTTTATTCAATTTCATTATTATCAAATATGTCACATTTTGCAATTTATTCGCACTAATCTCAACTGAGAAGATTGTCATTCAACCCCTCCCCCGATATAACTGCTGTGCGGTGTTCCCTTTTATTTTTTGCTGGAATAATGTGAATATCATGTGAAAATATTCCCTTTCGTAATTTTCATGGAATAATCATTATGAAAAATAATTGACCAGTAATAAGTTTGTTTTATTTGTAGAGCTTTCTCTGACTATCTCTAACCAGTGTTGACGGGTCAGGTCACAGGTCATCAGATTCGAGCCAATCACTGAGTTAAGACATGCTGCTGGATAGTTGAGTCCGATTCGTATCAGGGTTTCCCAAACTGGGGTCCGCTGACCCACGAGGGTCCATGATGGGTGCACAGGGGGCCAGCAGAAATACAAAATGAGCCTGATTGATCTTCAATGATTGATTTCAATCAAAAAGCCGTTGCATCTTTTTGGTTAAGTGCTGCGGACGAATATCAATTGATAAAAGAAAAGTCAATTAACATTTTATTGTCTTTTGTAACAACCTACATATGTGAATCAGCATTTTCTGCCCTTGGTATTTGTGCAGTGAAATGCAACAACCTCATCCATCACAATAATGTCTTTCGTGTTGTAAATGAAAAAATATACGTCTTGTTGGTTAGGCTTTTAAATTGATATGTCATAGGATGGGGGTCCATCAAAAGTAAGATCCACAAATAGGGATCCGTGGCCTGAAAAGTTTGGGAAACCCTGATTTAGATGACTCTCGTCATTGTGAGTCTTTGATGTAAAGTGACCTGAGTCGAACTATGTGGCAATTTATATAATTTGGGTACTCCAGAAGTATGTGAACCAAGATGGCAGACACCGGAACGGAGTATGTGTACCAGGTTAGAGAATTAGGCCATAATTTGAGGTACAAATACTATGAGAGTCATTTGGCTATACCCAGAACTCGCAATAGAACTAAAATAAAGAAAAATTGGCATGAAGTTATGGCTTAACCTTAATCTGGTACACATACTAAGTTCCGGTGTCCGCAATCTTGGTGCACATACAACAGGAGCGCCATAATTTGTATTTCATCTGCTGAATCATGCTTTTAATCTGAGATGTGTTTTGTTGGTGCTTTATCATCTCATTGTGTACTGCTTTAAGGTGAATTAAGGCCTACCGACAAAAAATGTTGCACACCCTTGCTTTACAGCAACCTTGATTAGGTGGTTCAATGGCCTACCACAGGGTGGTCCAAGGTTGTCGGCCTCGCAGGCCACATTATCATTTTCGTATCGTTCGCGGGCCACAATAGTGCCAAGAATAGGTAATTAGTGCAATACAAAACAAACACTTTATTGTCCAAACACCAAATAAAGCCAAACCACCAAATAAAGTAGAACGTGCAAAAATCTTACTGTATATACATTTAGTGTAAGATTTCAAACTCCTCATCTCGGAAAAAGTGATATAGGGGAAAAATACCGTTTTAGATTGTCACCGACACAACTTGCAGACATATTAAGCAATTATTGTGATATTTTCCCTCCCATATTCAGTTAAAAATCTGTTATTCAACTTTCTTTTTAAACTCATATTTAAAAATTAAATTATAAATGACTGAGATTAATTAATTTCACCAAATTTGAGATACAGAAGGATAATTACTAAATTTTCTAGCATATTGGCAGCTCTTTTTTGTAACACTGTTTAAGCTGGTTGCAAAAAGAAACACCCGACATGAATTACATTGTTCGGCCATTACATTAATATTTAGAGACCTCCTAAAGTATGCGCACCAAAATGGCGCACAACCTGAACTCTGGTAGTGTACCAGATTAGGGTTCAGGTTATGCGACATCTTGGTGCGCATACTTCAGGAGTACCATATTTAGTTATCAGGCACTTTTACTATTTTGGCTCTGACCAAAGCATTATATAAATAGATACTGCAGTATTATTTTATTTTAGACAGTCTTTACATGTGAGATATTACACCACAGCTATCCCTCTATTTAAATTGAAAATACAGTACCTAGAGTCTTGTTCAGAGGTAAAATATAAAGACTATATAATAAAGAGAGTAAGAGAATGTGGGTGGCTATTAGTGTATGTAGTAAATTGGATTTTAAATGCTGTTATTACTATGATAACAAATGGAAAATTTCACAGTTTCCATAAAATACAAGTTCAGGCTCGATTTCACTCCAGTTAGGGCTTGGTGAGGAAATTAGTATTTTTTGATTCAGGCTTAAAGGGAGAGGGAGAATGAATTTGTATATGTCGTTGTGTTCGGATAGATATATATGTGCATACACTGGTAGAAACATGTAGGTCAGGGATGCCATCTATGAATTTGGTCAGAATTTGGCCAAATAGTGCAGGAGCCATTGTTTTTTTTGTGAAGCGTTATCAGATTCCACTTGAATTTATACCCAAACCATAAATTTTAGAGGAATGCTCATATCATAGTTGTAATTTTCTTTAATATTATTTTATTATTAGATGAGGCATTTCCGTTGACCCTAGTAAGAATAATTTTTTCTTTTTGTAAGTTTTCACTTTCAGATTTCAAACAATATATTTGTTTATTGCTGACATAAAATATGTTAAGTGTATTTGAGTACTAATGTTGTAGTTTTCATTTTTATCCTCCCAAGTCCTAACAGCTTTATCATGAATGAGGTAAGCAATCTTGACACACAAAGTACAATTTTGGTTTGTTGAGGTGTCATACACACTTTGGTGTGCAAAGGTTTTTCAACTTGTCTTTGTTCGGTCAACTGTGTTCGGCAATGCAATGCTGTGACATATTAAGTTTTTTGGAGATGAATTCTTAGTTGAGAATAGGGAGACACTAGTCTACCAAGGGAGAGGGAGGAGGCATTGGTCCATTTTCATGACTAGGAAAGAGTACTATGATGTTGGGTCTCGTCATGCTGTAGTGTTTTATTACAGCCTCAAGATTTTTGAATAATTTTTGAATACAACTCATTATTGAATTTATTTGCAATATAAGTAGGGATGGCCATAACCGAATACTGGACTACTCTGAATACATTCTAAAATTTTTCAATCTGGAATTTCGAATACATATTAAAAACCCACAAGACATAAAATTCACCATCTTTCCTAAAGTTCCAGAGCATAGAAATTAAGCTTCAATGATATTATCATAATAATTAAGCAATTTGTTTAGTTGAAATGCACTTATGGGTATGTATAATTGTTTGCTATATGATCAAAAATCATTTGGCAAAGTATTTGTATGTAATGTTGGATTAATAGGACTTTTATGTGTATCACTGCCTTAGTTGAGATTTATTAGAGGCCCACCTTTGGCTTGGCGGTGTGGCACATCGTGATAAGTATTAGGTATATGCTCGTCATCGCGTATTTGATTATTATTTGTAGGTTTGCCGGTTTGAATCCCATGTGGTGTTGATTATATGCGACAAGATTACTGGCCTCCTCGTCTGGGTTCATGTACCGCTGGTCGGTTACGGCTCCCTCCACCATAAAGTCCATGCTTCTGAAAACTGTTAGTCAGATTTTCCCCATGAAGCATAAAAATTCTAATCTGACAGTTTATATTTAAAAAGGCACTAACATGGGTAAAAATATATAATGTTTTTGGTCTTGTCGCTGTGTTAAATCTTTCCCTGTGCATTCATTACTGTAAGGCTAAGCGATAGCTTTATTCTCTTATGTTGCCCTCCACATGACGCTCTGGTAGTCGCTAATATATTTTGGTTGCTGCAGGCTCATTAACACCATATTGTGATGTAATAATTTCGCATCTCAAGGTGGCCCAGTTAGATGTCTGAAGTTGGTTATATGGCCCATTGTCAAAAAATGTTGCACAACCTCGTTCTACAGCAACCTAGATTAGGTGGTTCCAAAGACTGCCATATAACAACTTTAATTAATTTCATTCTGTTGCAATGTGAACCATCAGTGCAGTGAATTTTACAGTTTGTTTGTATTTTCATCATGTTAATAAATATATTTACAGTTCTTATTTATTTCAGCTGAATGTACTAAATGTCAGTGGTAACAAGAACCTTGGAACCGATGGTTTTGGTGAACTTGGATTAGTTGTTACACAATGTCATGTGGAGTTATTCACGGCTCGGGATTGCAATCTGACAGCAGAAGAAATGAAAGCATTTAAAGAAAACACTCGCAATGCAAAGGTAAGAGGAGACTTCATGTGATAAGCATGAATGACTAAACAGCGTAAATAGTTTATTAGAGAATTGGGGGTTGATGCATATTTAAAGAAAATATATATCTCCAACTCATACTTTTTAATCATTTAATTTTTGCTCAGAACAAGTCTCTACAAAGTCAGTGAATGTATAT